CAAGTGACCTTGTACATTGCTTATTCGTGGCCAAAAACGAGGTTCGCAATAGTGCAGAAACTGTAAGAAGCACATACTCACTCACCTTCTACTCCCACCCCTTCTGTTATGTCTGCCCACCAGAGAAGAACAAGTTACTCCATTTAAATGCAAAGTTTTGGATGTTTCCCTGTTGACAAAAATTTAGGGAGCTACAAGTCAAAGTGTACTTGTGCCCAGACAAGTGCAGAAGTAACCATACTGCCTTAGGGCCTGTTCACATGAGTTTCAGGTCCGGGTCTGCAGACGCGGTGCTACTGATGCAGTAGGTTTTGGCCGCACTTTGATGCGTTCCAGTAAAAAAAAAAAAAAAATTTTTTTTTGCTGGAGTGGGGCTGTTAGTATGTTAGCTGCAGTGCAGTGTGTTTTGGACACGTTTTTCACACGTTTGTGTTTCCTGACCGTACAAAATGTGACATGCAGTATTTTTCTGTCGTAAGAACTAGGGCTGCAACAACTAATCGACATAAATCGATTATAATCGATTATTGAAAAAGTTGTCAACTTTTTCAATAATCGATTAATCGGCTTCCGATCAGTTGGCCCTATTCACAGCTCCACACGCTGTGCGCCGCACCTCCTCCCCACCTCACGCTCGCTGCTGCCAGACCCGCTTGCATCCACACGCCGCACCTCCTCCCCGCCTCACATTTCCTGCCCATCCACATCAACGATCGGCACAGGGACGCGGGGAGATGTAGTAAGGAGGAGCAGGTGTGGGGGGATGACAGCTGCTGATAGACAGGTCCAATCTCAGAAGCAAGTTGCTGGAAGACTGCTCAGGTAAGCCTGCACTTTCCCACACATGGTACTCTATAGTGTATTGCTGGGATTTGTATTTCTCTATAGCCGATGGTGTCCATTCTGCATTCATTGCTGTATAATTTTATACTTTCCATTTCACTATATTGCACACCACACTATTTTTTTTCTTTTTTACTTCCACCGCTCCAAGCTTGCTCCTGTGATGGACTACAACCTCAATACAAACTAGTAGTCCCATCACTGGAGCCATTTTTTAAACTTTATTTTATAGTTTATCCGATTAACCGATTAATCGAACTTAATAATCGGCTAACTAATCGATTTTGAAAATAATCGTTAGCTGCAGCTCTAGTAAGAACTGTAGCCCATAAAACACATAGGGATACATCGGGATGCATTTTGAGTGCAGGAGCGTCCGTATCAGGCCAGCACACAAAACGGACGTCGTGTGAACAGGCACTTAGAGAGAAAGAGCAAAAGAAAAAAACAAAACAAAAAACAGGTTGCCATACATGTATTTCATTTGCAAATTAGCATATACATGGTATGAAAACCTCGGTTTTTACACAGGGAGAGTCAATATATACCCTTAGGCCCCGTTCACACTGAGCGATTTATCGAGAGGTCATTCCCGCAATATTGCGGCTATTTACCGCGCGATATCGCTCTCCAATGCTTGGCAATGGGGCAAAGGGTCCTGCTGTCGCGGGTCGTGCGTCGCTACAGCAGGACCCTTTTTGGAGCGGATTTTGCCGCGATTCTAGCTTGCTCAATGCAAGCATTTGCGCGACAAATCGCGCAAAATGCAAATCGCACCACAAACGCACGATTTGCGAATCGCGCAGTGTGAATGGGGCCTCATACCTACAGTAACTCTGCCTTTCACCCTTGTTGACCTGGCTCTTCTCGGCACTTTCCCAAGCTTCAACACACCTAACACTGAACATTCCTAGGGTAACAACATAAATCACACTATCAGTTTCTTCCCCCTGCATGACTGACACTGCAGGCAAGATGGTAGCACCTGCCCCAAGTACTCTAAACCAGTGCTCCCAACCTTTTTATCGCCGCGGACCGGTCAACGTTTGATCATTTTACCGCGGCCCGCTGAGGGGGGGGGACGTTGATTGTTTTGATTTAATAATTTTAATTTGTGCTGTCAGTGCCATTATTTTCTAATGGCACCACAGTCGTGCCAGGCAGATTGAGCGTTTTCCTGCTGCAATACAGCCTGCCCGTGTGGTTGCACACAATCACAGTTGAAAACACTGAGCGTTTATTCGCGTGCAGATGGGGGCAGCGGGGCTGGTTTTCATTTATTCAATTTTTATTTACTTTGGAAACATTTTATTTTATTATTTTTATTTTTTAAGTTTTTATTTTGTTACGTTTTTAATATTTTTTTTTTTAACTATTTATTTTTAAACTTAACTGTATTGCTATTACACAGGGGTTAACAAATCCCCTGTGTGAAAACATCTGGAGGTGACAGGTACACTTTATTCAACCCGTCACCTCCAACACAGGAGTTCTAGCAGGCACTGTTGCTAGAACTCCTGTGTGACAGGAACGAGCAGCAGCCGCTGAGGACAGATGCTGAGGGAGGTGACAGAGCCTGTCACTACTCCAAACCTCCCGCTCTGTCCCCGCCCCCGCGCTCCACGCTCCGTCCCCCGTTCTCGGCGCTC